GTGTAGGCGCTTTGCACCTGAAGGTTTGTCTAGGACATTAAAGCTTCTCGATAAGTCCACATTATCCCCCTCTTATTAGTCTCTATTCTAGCAAAGGATCAGTTAACTACTTGATGTACTGCGGTTGTGGTTGATGAGCACGTGTTGGCTACTGGTCAAAAGGGCATACTGCATCAGCTTTCAGTCATTGCGGTCCTCCAGGAACCAACGGCTACAAATATAGCATGGCACGCCCCCGGACGAGTCTCTAACCTCCTGGAGTATTGTAGCTGCCACATATAACCAATGCGCAGTCAGAAGAATGGCGCGGCGCATGAAAATAGCACATCATAATCATCTCAACAGAAAGCTGTCAGCAAAAACGTGAATGTAGGAGCAAAGCTACAGCTGTAAACTGGTTTGCTGAGACAAGCTTTGCAATCGGCGAGGGCAACATGCGGAAAGATCAAGTGAGACAAGTGTACCAAGCGTCAATAAGCGGAGGTGAACACAGGGAACGTGGCAACAGGTTTGGTGAGAAAAAGCAGGCATCGATATCAATAAACCGTTCCACTGAAATGACGGATGTACCAGTCAGGAACGGAAATTTTAATGATGTGACCTAGGTCTAAGTTCAAGAAGTGTAAAAGAGGTACTTAAAGAGCGTTAAAGAAAAGGCAGAAACAGGAAAGTGTTTCTTAAAGTATATATCCAAAAAATATTCATATGTTGTTAAACGCCGCTCTAGTTAACTAGCCAGTGTGCTTTTGGTGGCAGTGAGTTCATTTAGTGGTGAGTCACATCCGCCTCGTCGCACTGTTGGTAAAAGGGACATTTTAAAACAGTTAGTCCCCTTCAGTATTTTGAACAACGAAATGAGAAGACGAATATTGGCAGATGCTAGCATTTCGTATTAGCTCGTCAGTACCAATACAATAACAGGGAAATCATTTTATATATCTTACAGGGCACAGTCAAACCAATCAAATTTATTGTTGTGGTCATTGTTATCAGATTACGTCCACGGCAACCGCAGGTTGACAACTAATTGCTTTTGGACACACAAAGCTGGTCTAATTCGGCTTATCGCGACGGCCTCGGCAAATCGTAAAAGGCGTGCATTAGTATGACGTAACAATATCCGGAAAGCTGATAAGGGATTGACCTGGTGACGAGTCGCCAAGATGTGCCTGCCTATGGAGGACGCTGGTGGCTTACGCGAACACGTATCATCGGAGGTGGATTGGGTAACTTCACGCTGAACCCAGTTTGGTAGGTGTTCCTTCACTCAGGAATCTAAAACCCGTTCGGTCCTGCCGATGTAACTGATACCGCAGTCACACACGAATTGGTAGACACAATGGGATTTGGCGCCGACGGGTTCATCTTCCTTTACTGAAGGTAACGGCAACTTTCGGGTTCTGTTGATAATTACCGCCTCCGCAGCACAGTATGTACGCTGAATGGCCGAGACAATCCGTTTGGTTATCCTTTTCGTTGCAGTGTCACCCTTTAATGGGTGCGCAATGTACACCTTCTTCTTAGGGGCTGTCAACACCATCTCCTTGGGCGGTCTAACTTGGCTATGTTTGTCTATGAATCGCTTTGGGTTGCCATTCTTCATAAGTGTCTTAGTGATCAGCTCTAACTCTTCAGCCAGGCAGTCGTTGGAGCAAATACGTCTGGTCCGAGTGAATAATGTTTTTACTAGCGCGCGCTTGTGTGCCATCGGTGAGAAGCTAGTGAAGTGTGGATATTGGCCGGACCACGTTGGCTTCCGGTATACAGATCGCTTAATCAGCCAATTATCCCCGCGACTCATGAGAATGTCGAGGTACGGAAGGCGCCCATTCGATTCGAATTCAAAAGGCACATTCAGGTTGGCGTGAACATTATTAAGTTGATCTACTAGTTGTTCGATTTGCATCTTTGTGGAACCGAAAACAAGGATATCATCCACGTATCGTTTGTAATACGGCAGCTGAGAAATCTGTCCACTTAGTTTCCTCTCAAGCATCAGCATGAAAAAGTCAGCCAGTACCGGTCCCAACGGACTACCCATAGCTACCTCGTCAATTTGGCGATACGTGTTGTGGTCGAATCGGAAAGCGACATTCTCCGTGCAAAGTAACAGGGACTGTCTCAGGAGGTCTGTCGGTATTGGTAGACGGAAATTCTCCTCTTCTATCAGGTGGCAAATGTAATCAACTGTCTCAAGCAAGGGGACATTAGTAAATAACGATTGGACGTCCATTGAACACATAACCTTGTCGGCTAGGCTGATTTGGTCTAGGTCTTCGATTATTTCAAAAGAGTCCTTAATGCTGTGCAAATTGTAGTGCTGCCTTAGTGGTGCAAGGATCCGAACTAACCAACGAGCCAATTTGTGCTGCGGGGAATTTACCATGGACAAAATGGGTCTTAGTGGCATGCCCTGCTTGTGATTTTTTGGTAACCCGTATAGCTGTGGTGTCGAGGAACCGCTCGGCTTCAGGTGCTTGTAGGTGATTTCATCAATTACACGATGTAGGAGAAGCGTTTCAAGGTGTCGGGTTATACGGGCCTCTACTTCTGTCAGACATTCTATCTTGTCGGTGTGTTGAAACTTGCTTTCATCACTTAAAACGCTTAGCATTTTTTGTACGTAATCATCCTTGTTCATGACAACTGCTCCTGAACCTTTGTCCGGTTTTAGTACAACCACTCCCTTATTTCTCAGCTCTCGTAGTGCTTTTAAATGACGGCTTGTAAGCGCACACTTTTCGTTTACCGGTACCATGAGGACTTCATAAGCAATGTCGGTTAGCTTATTCCTAAACCAACTGACAGCATCAGGACTGGTTGACTGAAGTTCAGCTACTTGGGCGAAAAGATTCTCAAACTGTGCTTCAACAAACAATCGATTCAGCTTATTGGGAGTAACTTTGTAATCTATCCCCAAGGCTAGTGCTTCTAGCTGCATATCATCAAGCTGTACGTTTGACACATTCAAGACGTACTTACCGAGATCACGTGTAACGGGTTGGTCATTTGCTTCCATCAGGGATTTCAGTAGACGCTTTCTGCAAGTTTCTTTCGTGCGAGCGATAAGTCTCTGGCAAAAGATTGAGAAGACAATACGGCAGCATAGGGACAGGCTCTCCACAACCGGCATCAGGCGAGTATTTGTCTCCATCAGAGTTGTTAGCTTTGCCTTGGTTGTGTCTAATTGCGCTGATGCAATGCGTCTAAGATTGCGATTGGAAGGCGAGAGCTTGTTTCTGCGTAATAGTTTCAGCATTGAACGCGGGTAACGGCGTAGGGTGACACACTCGGAAAGAAAGGATATTTCCACACGTTTGTATGCTAGCTTGCATCTTAGGTTGACAATACGATGCAGCAAACGGTTAGTTTCAGGGGAAATTACTCGCTTGAGAAATTTAAAACAGTTAGCCCCCTTCAGTAGTTTGAACAACGAAATGAGAAGACGAATATTGGCAGATGCTAGCATTTCGTATTAGCTCGTCAGTACCAATACAATAACAGGGAAATCCTTTTATATATCTTACAGGGCACAGTCAAACCAATCAAATTTATTGTTGTGGTCATTGTTATCAGATTACGTTCACGGCAACCGCAGGTTGACAACTAATTGCTTTTGGACACACAAAGCTGGTCTAATTCGGCTTATCGCGACGGCCTCGGCAAATCGTAAAAGGCGTGCATTGGTATGACGTAACAATATCCGGAAAGCTGATAAGGGATTGACCTGGTGACGAGTCGCCAAGATGTGCCTGCCTATGGAGGACGCTGGTGGCTTACGCGAACACGTATTATCGGAGGTGGATTGGGAAACTTCACGCTGAACCCAGTTTGGTAGGTGTTCCTTCACTCAGGAATCTAAAACCCGTTCGGTCCTGCCGATGTAACTGATACCGCAGGCACTGGGTTCAGCGTGAAGTTTCCCAATCCACCTTCGATGATACGTGTTCGCGTAAGCCACCAGCGTCCTCCATAGGCAGGCACATCTTGGCGACTCGTCACCAGGTCAATCCCTTATCAGCTTTCCGGATCTTGTTACGTCATACTAATGCACGCCCTTTACGATTTGCCGAGGCCGTCGCGATAAGCCGAATTAGACCAGCTTTGTGTGTCCAAAAGCAATTAGTTTTCAACCTGCGGTTGCCGTGGACGTAATCTGATAACAATGACCACAACAATAAATTTGATTGGTTTGACTGTGCCCTGTAAGATATATGAAAGGATTTCCCTTTTATTGTATTGGTACTGACGAGCTAATACGAAATGCTGGCATCTGCCAATATTCGTCTTCCTTATTTCGTTGTTCAAACTACTGAAGGGGACTAACAGTTTAATTTTCTCAAGCGTACGAAATTCCCCCTGAACTAACCGTATGCTGCATGTATTGTCAACCTAGATGCAGGCTAGCATGCAAGCGTGTAGAAAATCCTTTCTTTTCCGAGGTGTGTCACCCAACCCGTTACCCGCGATCATGCAGAAACGATTTACGCGGAGAAGACAGAGGCGGGAGCGTGCGCGCCTTTGTCCAATCGCATCTTAAGACGCATTGTTAACATCTGCCACGCGGGGCTAACATTGAGTGACACCGACCAAGGTCAAAGTGCTGAACAACTCTGATGTGCGGAGGGGCACACAACTCCCGTTGATTGCCGGTTGTGGAGAGGCCTGTGCCGCGATGCTGCGTACTTGTACTACTCAAGTCGGTTTATGCGATGATTTAGATCTGAGACGCTCTGGCGACCGGAAAGAGAACTTGCTGAAATGCGGGTCAGTAATGGTATTCACCTGATTGGGGGAAGAAGTATTTAGCGTAAAATTCTGCTGATACTTAGCAACATGAACTATTCGAGAGGAGGAAAAGAGTAGGTGTTACATATAAGTCTGTGATTGTGTGCCTTTCATCAGGGTGTGTCAGTAGTCGAGTTCTGATATATGTGGAGGTAGTGCGTGGCGTGTGGAGACCATGAATTTGGTTGGATATAAGGCGAGTATGTAATCGTATGTGGGGGGGGGGGGGGGGGGGGGGGGGGGGGGGGGGGGGGGGGGGGGGGGGGGGGGGGGGGGGGGGGGGGGGGGGGGGGGGGGGGGGGGGGGGGGTGTGGGGGGGGGGGGGGGGGGGGGGGGGGGGGGGGGGGGGGGGGGGGGGGGGGGGGGGGGGGGGGGGGGGGGGGGGGGGGGGGGGGGGGGGGGGGGGGGGGGGGGGGGTGGTGGGGGGGGGGGGGTGGGGGGGGGGGGGGGGGGGGGGGGGGGGGGGGGGGGGGGGGGGGGGGGGGGGGGGGGGGGGTGTGGGGTGGGGGGGGGGGTAGAGGGGGGTATTGTGGGTTGTTTGGTTTTATGTGGTGTGTATTGGAGTGTTTTTTAGGTGGGGATGTTGGATGGAGAGCGGTGTTTGTAGTATTTATGTGGAAAAGGATGTGGGTTATCATTTTTTGTATTTTTGTGATTGAGTATGGGAGGTGGTGAGAGGATGGGGAATTGTATTGTTATTTGAAGGGGTGTGTGAGGTATGGGACAACAGTCATATACAATAAATGTTATTGTTGTGGTAAGTAGTATAATTGAAGTAAAAGGATAAAGATGGTTGGAAAACTAATTGCTTTTGACACACAAAGCTGTCTATCGGCTTATCGCGACGCTCGCAAATGCGTAAAGGGGCGTGCATTAGTAT